TATATATATATATATACCCACCGCCCAATTCTTATGTTTTGAATGTCTAACATCTACAATTTATTTTTTATATTTAAATAAACAAATCTTTTATATGATACTAAAAAAAATTTATTTTAACTTCTTATACATTATTATTTAATTATTTAATAACTTGGAGTTAAAATGACTCAAACATGGGGGAACAATATTTTGTCTGCATTTGGCTCGTTTATAAATTCAGCTAAAAAAAATTATTAATGTTCGATTTGCTTGCTTAATGAACAAATCGAACGCGAGCTATTGAACGAGTTATTCGCGAATGACGAACTTTTTTAATAGCCCTATATGTAATAGAACATTTAATTACTATGTATTTACATATCTAAAACATAGACTTAATCATTATATTTATACCACCCAATTCATTCATTTCATGTAAAAAATAACACTATATAAACTTTTATGACTTAAATACATCATCTCATGCATGGGATTGTGACATGTAAAAAATTTAAAATTTAAGTTCTAAATATATAAATACAAATTTTTTTAGTAGTATGTGTGTAAATCTTTTTTTTATTTATCACACTATAATTGTATCATATATAAATCTATGAGTATGTTTGATTTGTTGCAAAATGTGTGAACTTTATTATCTAGGGTTTTTTTTTTTTTTTTTTGATGCAATGTAAAATTACCATGTATTTAGATTGTATTATGGAGCTCCTTTTTTATTTATTAGAAATTCAAATGATATTGGCAAATTCAAAATATATTTTCTTGTATAAAATGTTGCATCATATCGTCTTCGTCTTCTCCACTGGCCAGCCTCCCGCCTTCACCGCCAACCTCAATAATCTCGTCTGTCGTTTATAAACCATGTCGCCTACAATCTACCGGTACCACCATCACCCTGTGTTATCACCGCCCGCGAGCTATATAGTTTACATTGATTTCTTTTTTACTTTAGACCAAAATAATAATAATAATAATAAAAGTGAAGTTACACATCAAATACGTGTATGCACAGATCTTTGATGAAATCCAGTCTACGAAAGTACATAGGAGTGCATATAAAGATGACTCACATACGAAACGCTAAAGGTCCCACTAGCAGGAGATCTAAAGTCCACCAGCGAAAGACAAAAGGTCCAGTAGCAAACGTCTAACGGTTCACTAACATAATGTCAGATGACTTACGTGACTAGGTGAAGTTCCTCTGAATCGGGGAATAGATGTTGACCACATGCAAGCCACCCGAACAAAAGACTAAAGTCGATCAAGTCAAGCAAAGGTATTGACCCGACTCTTGTTGTAAAATGAATTAATTGAAGAATTTAATGTCGTCAACAATCTCACATACGTTATTGAAATTGCCCATCTAAGGCTTATAACTAGCTAAAGCATGACGCAGGGGTTGGAAAGCTAAATCAGCTGAACCAATTTAGCAAGGACTTAATGAGGTCAATCAAACCTTACTCAGGTTTGGGTTGTCGCCCAATGGGAAGGATTTTCCCCTCCTAGCTATGTTCTATTATAAATACATTATTTTCTATTTTATGGCTTAGTTTTTATTATGTTTTTTATTAGTACAGTCGTCGGAATCCCCAAATTTCCCTCATATGGTTGCATATGGGTACTATTAGTGCTTTGGTCGCTTCTCCCTCTGAGATGGTGATTATCCTTTACTTTTCCATCCTCCATAACTTTGTTTTTGTCATGATCGTTGCAAACAGACATCACCCCAAAAATTTGAGCATGTGCATTGTTGTGAAAAATGACGACAATAAAGCTAAAAATTAGAACGAGAAATTCACATAGAAATAACAGACACACAGATTTACATGGTTCAGAAAATTGCCTGCGTAACTATGTCCATGGAGCTGCAAAGGATTTTATTACTATGATGATTACACCCGTCGATCATATCGACGATTAACATAAAGTTATAATGGACTCTACCTCTTTCTCTCTCCTCAGCTTCTCTCTCTCCCTCTCCAACCGAGAGCTACATGAGAAGAAGAAAAAGAAATGGGAAATATCAAACTTGCAATTTTCTTTCTTCCTCACCCGTTAGCCAAAAACGTAATAAGGTGAATAGCAAAGCTTTTTGGCTACCTACTATACACAATAAGTGTTAATACCTCTTTTACTTTATTCGGCCCACATAAGGATGCTAATATCTCTGATTCGTGAATTCAGAAGCAATGGAGGGAGATTAATTTTGGGAAAAGGAATTATTAAAGGAAGGATATAAGGCTGCTTTCCTTAATTTGTGAAGCCAATAAAAGAAATGTATTTAAATAGATTAAATACATTATATAAATGCAAGACTTGCCCAAACAAAGTAGAGGACCAGGCTCCACCTTCTTTAACAATTCCTACTTAGAGACTGGGACACTAGTTGCATCATCCACTGACTACATCGTCTTTTTCCTCAAACGTGATATCCTCCACCTCAACAACTCAAAGCCCTTTTCTTCAAGCTAGAAGACTAATTGAAGTTGCACATGACTTCAATTTCTTAAGAGCAACACCCTTAGTCAACATATCATTGCTAACATAGTCTGGTACCTCCAAGCTATTTCCCGGGTTACTCATGTATCTGCTTACAACCCTCACTTCATGAAAAATATCATACCTCTGCTGAAAGCTTTCTACGACAAGTCTCGTCCTATAACTCTTATTGTCATCAAATTAAGTCTTCACACGGTACACCCACTTGTTGTGTAATGTCTTCTTCCTTGGTGAAAGTTCTGTCAGCTCTCATGTTTGATTTCTCAAGAGGGAATCCATCTTCTTCTTCATGACCAGCTCTCACTTGCTTAAATTTTCATCTTGCAACCTTTTTTCATAACTATGTGGTTCTTCACCATCTGTCAGCAGAATATAGTTCAAGGTCGGTGAGTAACACTAAGGAGAACGTTTATTCCCGACAAACCTACGAACTGTAGTTGTAGAGGTGGACGACTTTGCAACTGACTGTGGAACAATAAGAATGAGTGTCTCGACCCCACTCTCTTCATCACCTCCATCACCACCTTGCATTGTGACCTATGGTAGATCATCAAACCTCAAAATCTCAGATTTCTAAGGAGCTACTTCAGAAACGACATTGGACTTGTCCTTATACATGATATTCTCATTTAAAATCACATTATTGTTTCTTATGATCTTCTGATCATGATCATCCCTGAAATGATAATCAAACGTCTCGTCTCCATAGCCAATGAAAAAATATTTCTTTAACTTAGTCTCAAGTTTGCTATGAGCCTCAGGATTAATAAGAACATAAGAAAGACAGTCTAAAGTCTTAAGGTGAGAAAATATGACATTTTTCACACTCGAGACCTTTTTAAGGGAAATTTACAGTTCAATGAAACAAATGACCCCTATTGATATGGTAAACTGCGGTGCTAATCGCTTCTGACCAGAAAGTTTGCGGTAGTCCAACTACAATCTCATGGTTTTAACTGACTCATTAATAGGCCTATTCATGGGCTCTGCAACACCATTTTGTTTTGATGTCTCAGGAATAATTTTCTCCATTCTGATTCCCTGAGCTGCACAAAACCTCTTGAACCCACCACCATTGTTAGATCTCAAATATTTTTATTTTCCGATTGTCTTTATCTCATCTGTCTCAAACATGGCCTTCCAAGCCTTGAACACATTAAATACATCTGATTTATGCTTCAAGAAGTACACTAATATCTTTCTGTTATGGTCGTCCATGAATGTGATATATCAAAGTGAGCCTCCAAGGGTTGCTGCTAGAGAAGGTCCCCACACATCTGTATGAACACGATATAATTTTTCTGTCTTTGGTGCTCTGCGCCTTTTAAATAACTCACATTTTTCTGCTTTCTCATAATGAAACTCTCACACATGCTGAGATCAACTAACTTCAGCTCTGGTAGCTTGCCTTTGCACTGAAGTTCATTCATGTCCCTCTGATTCTTGTGGCCAAGCTTGCAATGTCACAAATCTATTGTGCTCTCTGCACCAGTAGTATTGATCATGATATTCTTTTTTATATTTAAAATTTAAGAAGTTGACACCACTACTTGAAGATTTTAATCTCCGGCAATGACACCGAAAATTTGATCCCAAACTAAGTAAGATTTCAATTATATTTCTAGGAATTTTACGCAAGTATACGTATCGTTATGTATACGTATCGTTATCAAGTTACGTATCGTTATCAAGTAATATATGACTTTCTGATTAAGCCCCAAATATCGATCCCACGGAAATTGGGGTTAATCACGGCGACTTTCAAGAGAAAT